GTGAGCCAAGATTGCGCCATTGCACTCCAGCCTGGGTAACAAGAGCGAAACTCCGTCTCAAAAAAAAAAAGATTAACCAGCTCAGTGTGTACACTTTAAAGTTCTCAGTACATCTATGTTGAGCCACCATGTCTATCTAGTTCCAAGACATTTTAATCATCCCAGAATGAAACAGTAAACTCATCAACCAGTAAACTCATCCCCCATTCTACCCTACCTTCCAGCCCTTTACAACCACTAGTCTGCCTTCTGTCTCTATGGATTTATCTATTCTGGATATTTTATATAAACGGAATTATACAATATGTATCTCTTTTGCTGTCTTATTTCACTTAGCATATTGTTTCTGAGGTTAATCTATGCTGAAATATGTGTCAAAACTTCATTCCTTACAGCTGAGTAATATTCCATTATATGGCTATACCACATTTTCTGTATCAGCTGATGGGATTTTGAATTGTTTGTACCTATTAGCTATTTTGAATAGTGCTGCTATGAACATTCATGTACTTGTATTCATTTGAACATTTGTATTCAATTCTTTTGAGTGTGTACCCAGGAGTAGAACTGTCGGGTTATATGGTAATTTTATGTTTAACCTTTTGAGGAACTGCCAAAATGTTTTCCACTAAATCAGGAAGAAAGAATTGACAAGTAGTCTTCTAGAAACTAATAGAAAGAGGTGAGAGAAACTGTATCTCAAATATATTTCTTTATCTTAAGCTCGAACTAGAATACCCCAGAAAAGATAAGGGCCAGTCAGTCTAGTTTTTATGTCATCTCATATCCTCAAGTAAGAATAGGTCGTGTTGTTGAAACAGCCATGGAACTCCACATTCACACATTCACTTTGTCTGAAAACACCTAAGAAAATGGCATCCTTAAATCCTGGTTGAAAGTTCACAGGACACCACAGATATCTGGGTGTGTCAGCTGTGCTGCTGTGAACAAGCCAGAGTACTCTTCCTCAATCATCCTTATCTAAGGCGAGGAGAATAAGACAATAGATCAAGATGAGAAACGTTACTTCCTGTATGTATGGCTTAGCATGCTATTTCTTAATGAAGAGACATGATTAGTACTGGAAAAAATGATCCATTAGATAGTCTTTGTTCTGTTTGATGAACAAATGGCCTATAGCCTAACTACACAGATCTCTTGAATTTGGAGAAAATCTCAGGTAGTTTAATGCAGAAATAAGACTTTCAATTGATCACTCTTGTTTATATATTCAAGGAAGCCTTATCAATAACAATTGGCATCAACATGTTACTTACACTCCATCATATAATGATCATACTGGAGCCAGGTAAAACTCAGATTTTAGAAAACAGACATCATACTACTCATAATTGTATTTAATTTAGTGAATGATGGAATACGTATATAACAGAATTATAACACGTAGCCATAATGCCATAGTCTTTATGTTGTGAGTCATCATCAATAAACCACCAACACTGAAAAAACATAGGAACTTGACATACATAAATTAGAAGTTAATATGTTAACTTCTATAGTTAGACCAAATAAACATCACATCTTAGAGATGATACCAATAAACGCAAAAGTTGTCAACATTGTATCAATGCAATTTTAGTGAAAAAGTTTCCCTCTTGTGGATCCCATCAGGTATGCTAGTCATTCATTGAAAAGAAAAAGGCATAATGGTAATCATGTTGCCTGAAGGAATGGCCCTGATTGTCATTCACATAAGCGTGTATAAAGGTCTAATTTATCACTGGCATCATAACAAAATAGAAGCCCAACACTTGGGAGGGAAAAGTTGGGCACCAGATTGCTCATCAATTTATCCAATTTCAAGTTTCATGGCAAACACATACTATTGAAACTCACATTTCTACCCCAATTGCAAACATCCTGGCTTAGAATAGTACAGTTTTTATAGGTAAAGGGGCAGGGGAAGTAACTCAGGACTTAACGCAGCAGGTTTTAGACAACTTGGCAGTTTCTCTTAAGGTTTTCCAGTCAGTAAGCAGTAAGCTGATGTACAGAAGCAGAAAGAGGCAGTCACTAACAAAAACAGGGACAGTCTCCAAATAGGGACGGTTACAGACAACTTGCTGACAAAATTCTGCGCAAAATATCTACTTCAGTCATCAAGATTCTTCAATGATCAAAACATATCCTAGCAGTGTTAAAATATCATACTAATATTATGGAAAATTTTATCTGTATATTTAAACCACAATGACTATAGCGCATTGAGCAAAATATCAATGTATCGTATTTCTCAACCCTGAAAACAATCAATTGTAAGCAAAAAGGATTTTTTATGAGAATTGCATCACATGTGTCAATCATTGAGAAGAAAACCCTATCATGATATTCATGTTTTCAGAATGAATAAATCTAATTATTATTTGGAATTTTTCAGTCAGCAATGGCAGCCTCTCACCTCCACTCAATAGAACAGTGCCAGTAGGACTTACTAAATCATCCAATGAGAGAAAAAGAGCAAGGGTCTTAGTGCCAAGCATCTAAGAACATTAGGAGTTACAGGAAATGTAAATTAGGAATTACAGTAAATTTAAAGAATCAGAATTTGGGCCGGGTGCAGTGGCTCACGCCTGTAATCCCAACACTTTGGAAGGCCGAGGCAGGCAGATCACGGCAAAGACAGGCTGGGGGTTGGGGGCGATCAGCCAAGGCACGCAGGACTTCAGACTTTCTGGGTCCAGGCGTGCACATGGAGGCCTGACACTGACTAAGACTCAGGATAAGTGAAGAGATTTCATACTACCTGTACTGTATTCAATTTCAATCAAGGGTAACATACAGCTGAATCTCAAGCCATCCCCTAAAATTGCCAAAGTCTTTCAGTTGTGAGGAATGCCTCAATGATCCACAAATATCATAACACCATACACAGCAACCCAAAAAACATGTACTGTATTTGTCCAATCACTAAAGAGTTGACTGCAATGAATTACTAAATGTCTCCATCTTTAAATCAAAGTATGTTCAGTAAAAAAGAGTTTAAATGAGGACTCCATTAGATCACTCACTGATGGGAAAGAATAGATCACTGCTCACCTATTTTGTATAAACAGGTAAATGTAATCATTTTGAAAGCCAATGTTTAGTATTTTAATGGTCCATTTGGAATTTAATTACCAAAAATAGAACATATATAACCCATGTAATGACACACCTGGTTGAACATTCTGAAGCACACCATGAGGAAAAAATAAACCAAGATATTCACTTTCATAAATGAAGTTCATACTGATTGTCACATTCTCCTCTCCATTACCATGGTCTTACAGAAAGTTCATCAGTAACTCAAAACGGTGAAGCACTGTTAGAGTCCACAATAATATAGAAAAATTTTGTCTAGTCATGTACCTAGAGCCAAATGTATATTAAATATAGGACTAGGCAACAGTTAATTTAAAAAATTGTCAATATTGAATTGTATAAAGTTCAGATTAAAAGATTTTGTCATGAAGATATTGTAAAGGAAAACTCATTGAAATTCAGATTGCCTGAAGGTATAAAGCTAATTCCCTTAGGTGTGAGTCTCATATCAATGAATTTCTGTGGTTATGTCAAAAGAAATCTCCTCTGCCATGCTTGTCTCCTTTCTCATCTTTAGATTTCCATACAATCTTTTTCAATAAAGTAGGAGATGGGCGGTGCACCGAACTGATCAAATTATACATGATCATACAACGTAGAGGAAAAAAAGGCATCATTCTGAAAGACTACAATGAGACTGCCTATTCCAACTAAAACACTACCAAATTAGGAAGTAAATAAAAGATGAAAAATGCCACCACCAATAAAACATTTGCTGCTGCCTTTGTGAAAGTAAAACACACAAAGGGAAAAAAATATGCCAACAGAACACACAAAAAGCACTGAAGAAATAGAAAAAGCTGCCACAACACCCATCACATAACCTCTCAAGACAAAATAAGGTTCTCATCATCAACCCAAATGAGGGCACCTGCTGCCGCACGAGTCACCAGTGGAACCTGGATAAGCTCACCACAGCTCAATGCAGAACACCAGGCTGCCAAGAAACACCCAAGCTCCAGAACACCAAGGGCTGTGTACCCGGCTGACAGACACTGGCCCAGGACCAGTGGGAGGAATGCAAGTCTTCTTCTGGGCTCACCATTTGGAGGGCAGGAAGAGGACAGCTGTCCTAACAGGGCCTGATGCCTCCATGAGAGGATGTGGGAAGGGGTGCCGGCTCACCCAAGCTCATCCTCCATGGACTCACATAATGGAAATGGGATCCATGTGGAACACTAACCACCTCATGACACAGGGCACCTTGGCCCTCCCTGCCACCAAACCCTGGCAAGACAGGGTAAGAGGGTCACTAGGATTAGGCAAGACACCTGGGGTACACCCAACTGCAGGCCATGAGACCACATCCACTGCTTCCAACAGCTCTCCCGAATGACCCCAGGGCTGCACCAAGATCACAGGGCAGGGGGCAGGGCAACCAACCAGCTCATGGCCAACCAAGGAGACTGGCCCTGATGCCAGGAGTCACCGCAGACCTGGCAGTCACAGAGCCTGCCGCTGGGTGTGGTGGACGCCCACCCGGGTGCCATCTCCAAGTACGCACCGGAAATCAAACCCTGCGGCCTCCAGGGCCATGTGCTTTCTCTGGTGGGTCCCCCTCCATGACCCAACCCCAGGGAAAAGACACCACCCACACCAGGCTCCAGAAGGCCCACTGGGATGGCCCATTTTTCAACAGGGAAGGTTCCGATCAGTTGTGGGCAGGGCACCATCCTTGAGTCTCCACCACTCAACCCCACAGGCAGATTCACACACCACACTCAGGGGACCAAGAACTCCCCTCTGACCCCCCTCATGTGGCCTGGGCAGTCCTCAAGGCCTGACCTGAGCACTGAGTCTCAGCTAGCCCTGCCCTGGGTGAGGCTCAAGAAAACAGTTCCTGCCTGGACCACCATCACCCCTGCAGGGCTCAGGGAAGGTATCTTCCTTGCATTCCTTTACAGCAAAAGTTGCTCTTCTGGAAACCTCATGCCTCTCTCGTGGAAATGCGGGCTGGCTCCCTCAGGAAACCCTCGTATCCCATAGGCTGACCCCTGGTGACCCCATATGGCCTGGCTCATGGCTCGGGACATCAGCAGAATCCACTCACCTGTGCAGGTCAATACCAGGGGGCCCGCCCGAGTGGAAGAGCTCACTGAAAGACACAGGGGAGAATGGGGCCCAGAGAGGAGCCATCCAAGTGCCCCGCCCCCAGGGAACAACAGCCTGGATACCAAGCCTCCATAGGTAGCCTGGGCTGCATCACGGAGGAGCAGAGACAGGGCTGGGCACCTTCCAGATGCCCTTCAGGGCCCTACCAGAGATCCCTGCAACCTCTTCCAACATTCTCCCCTAGGCTGGGCCTCAGCGTAATCCTATTGAGCATGATTTTTAAGTCATCACCTCTCTTCAGGACAATATAAGGTTCTCATCACTGACCCAACCAAGGACAACCCCCTCCCCACGCATGTACCCACCGGAACCTGGATGTGCTCACCACAGCTCAGTGCAGGAGACCAGGGTTCCAGAGAGGGTCCGAGCTTCAACACACCAAGGGATGAGCACCAGGCTGACGGACACTGGCCCTGGGCCTGCAGGCCCAACACAAGTCTTCCTCCAGGCTCACCACCTGCAGGGACAAGAGAAGGACATGTGTCCAACCAGGGCCTCAAGTATCAGTGCAGGGAAGGTGGGTAAGGCACATCCATGTGATAGGATCCATGCAGAACACTGACCCATCACGGACACAGGGCGCCCTTGAACCTCCCCACCACCAAACCCTGGAAAGACAGGGCAAGGGGGTCACTGGGCTGGGGCAAGATGCCTGGGCTGCGCCCTACTGCAGGCCCAGAGAGCACCTCCACCGCCTGTGCCGGCTCCCCTGAACAATCCCAGGGCCACACCAGGAGCATGGGGCATGAGCCAGGACAACCGACCATCTTATGAGCAAACAAAGAGACTGGCCCTGATGCCAAGAGCCAAGGCAGACCTGGCAGTCGCAGAGCCTGCCCTGGGTGTGGTGGGCGACCGCTTTAGTGCCCTCTCCAAGCACACACCAGAAATCAAAGCCTGGGGGACTCCAGGGCCATGTGCTTTCCCCGGTGGGTCCCCATCATGCCCTGCACACCTCATACACACAGAGCCAGGCCACACTCGGCCCATCGGAAACCACATAGTGCCTACTTCTTTTCTTTGGCTCAAGACCCCGCCACACTGGAGGTGACCACCTGGCTCAGAAGCTGCCTAGGTGGCAAATTCCCAGGACAGGTCCCTCAACACCAGGCCTTCCCCCTCAAGAGGTCACCCTTCCCACCACTGGACCTCCAGGAAGGGGTGACCCCAGTGGAACGCGAGCTGCCCCCTTGGCCCAAAGACCACAAGCCCCAGGGTCAGCCTGCAGCACCTCCAGGCACCAGCCAGAGCTGACTTGACCCAACCACATCAAAAGAGCACCGCCCCCTACCAGGCTCAAGGAGGCGCCACTAAGATGGCCCATTGCTCAACAGGATCAGGTCCATTCAGGGCCATGGGGGGGCACATTCCTTGAATCTCTGAGGCATGACTGTGTGGGCCCAATCACCCACCACTCTCCAGGGAGGGAGAACTCCAGTGTGGCACCCAAGTGTCCTCAGGGCCCCTGTGACCCCCCTCATGTGGCCTAGGCAGTTTTTGAGTCCTGACCAGCCCAATGACTTTCAGCTGGGAGCTGCCTTACACTGGGCTGAAGGAACCCTTTCCTGCCTGGCCCACCATAACCCCTGCAGGGCTTCACAAAAGGTGTTCTCCAGGGTCAGATTCCCAAAAATGCAAGCCTTCTGGAGAAACGTTCCCTCCAGGGTGGGAAATAAGTTGGCACCCTGAGAAAACCCTCGTGGCCAGAGGCTGACCCTTGATGACCCCACACCTCCTCACTCATGACCCATGACCCCAACAGGATACACTCACCTATGCCACTTAAGGCCACAGGTCCCACCTGTGCAGAAGAGCTCACTGACAGATAGGTGAGAACGTGGGCTCAGAAAGGAGCCGCCAACATGCCCCACCCTCGGGGAGCCAAAGCCCACACAGGAAGCCTGGGCTGCCTCACGGAAGTGCGCAGAAACAGGTTTGGGACCCCCTACAGATGCCTTTCAGGGCCTCAAGTTCTCCAGCCCAAAATACAGCGGCCCTGCCGGGGACCTCGGGATCCCAGCGTCAAGCACCAGCCCGGTCGGGAGACCCCCACCCAGGCGGTGCTGAAGGTATCTGAGAGACAGACACCCAAACAGCACAACAGAGCTGATCTATCCTGGAGCAAAAAGCCTGAGACCCGGCAGCGGGGCTAACAGCTCTCCAGACTGAAGGCCCGGAGCAGGCGTGCATCCTCGTATTTATTTGCTCTTGACAGGTGACTCTCATTAATACACAGGTGTTTTCTATAACTTAAAAATACACCAAGTAGGCAGCTGTTACCAACCTATCACTAATTACAAACTAAAAGTATCCGCCACAAGGGAGCCATGGGGGCAGGGTAAACTTAACGTTCCTCAACAGTGTTCCCAATTCTCCCCTAGGCTGGGCCTCAGCGTAATCCTATTAAGCATGATTTTTTTTTTTTTTTTTGAGATGGAGTTTCGCTCTTGTTACGCAGGCTGGAGTGCAATGGCGCGATCTCGGCTCACCGCAACCTCCGCCTCCCGGGTTCAGGCAATTCTCCTGCCTCAGCCTCCTGAGTAGCTGGGATTACAGGCACGCGCCACCATGCCCAGCTAATTTTTTGTATTTTTATAGAGACGGGGTTTCACCATGTTGACCAGGATGGTCTCGATCTCTTGACCTCGTGATCCACCCGTCTCGGCCTCCCAAAGTGCTGGGATGACAGGCTTGAGCCACCGCGCCCGGCCTTAAGCATGATTTTTAAGTCATCGCCTCTCTTCAGGACAATATAAGGTTCTCATCATTGACCCAACCCAGTGCAGCCCCCTCCCTATGGATGCATCCAGTGGGACCCAGATGTGCTCACCACAGCTTGGTGCAGGACACCAGGGTGCCAGGAAGGGCCTGAGCTTCAGCACAGCAGAGGCTGGGGCACCTGGCTGATGGACACTGGCCCAGGAACAGCAAGCCCAATGCAAGTCTTCCTCTGGTCTCACCATCTGGGGCAGGGTGGAGGATATGTGTCCAAAATGACCTCCATATGGGGAAGGGGGTAGGGGGTGCCAGCTCATGCATGCTCGTCCTCCATGGACACATGTGATGAGATCCATGTGATACTGAATCATGACCAACATGGGGCACCATTGGCCCTCCCTGCCACCAAACCCTGGAAGGACAGGGCAGGTAGGTCACTAGGCTCGGAAAAAGCGCCCAGGCTGTGCCATATGGCAGGCTCTAAGAGGGCTTCTACTACCCAAGAGGGTTTCCCTGCATGACCCAAGAGACTCCCTGGGACCACTGGGCATAGGCCAGGGCCACCAGCCACCTCATGGCCAACCAAGAAGGCTGGCCCAGAGGCCACGTGCTGCTGCAGACCTGGCAGTCGCACAGCCTACCCTGGGTGTGGGGAGCACGCATCTAGCTGCACTCTGCAAGCGTGCACCAGAAGTCACATTCTGGGGCTGCAGGGCCATGTGCTTTCTCTGGTGGGTCACCATCCATACTCCGCATACCTTCCACACACAGAGGCAGCCACACTTGGCCACTGGGAGACACATGGTGCCCTCTCCTTTGCTTGGGACCAAGACTCTTCCATCCTAAAGGTGACACCATGGCTCCCAAGCAGCCTGAGCAACAAAATTCTGGGAAAAGTCCCTTCACAGCAGGCATTCCCATCTGAGGATGCCACCCTTCACGACACTTAACCTCGGAGATGAGATGACCCCCAGAGGGATGCAGGGTGCCCTTTGGACCAACGGCCAAGGGTCCCAGGGCTGACCTGTAGCACCACCAGGTGCCAGCCACAGCTCTGCCTTGACCCAAACCCAAGGAAACAATGCTGCCCGCTCACCAGGCTCCAGGAGACCCACTGAGGTGGCCAATTGCTCAACAGGGACGGTCCCATTCAGGGCCATGGGTGAGGCGCGATCCTTGAATCTCCACAACCCAACCCTACAGGTCCATTCACACACCACACCCGGGGACTGAGAGCTCTCCTGTGACTCCCATAGCACCCAGAGCCACTGTGGCCCCCCTTGTGTGTTTAGGCAGTCCTTAAGGCCTGACCCAAGCACTGAGTCTCAACTGGAGTCTGCCCCACATGGGGGTGAAGGAACCCTTTCCTGCCTGGACCACCGTCACCCATGCAGGGCTTCAGGGAAGGCATCCTCCTTGCGTCCAATTCCCAATAAAGCAGCGGTCCTGGAGAACTCATCCCTCCCAGGTGGAAATTCAGGTCAGCTGCCTGAGAAAACCCTCGTGGCCTGAAGGCTGAACCTCGGCAACCCCAGACAGCCTGGCTAATAGGCTATGACCCCAGCTGGGTCCATTCACGCCAGTCAATGCTGGGAGGCCCACCTGGGCAGAAGAGCTCACTGAAAGACACAAGGGGAGAACAGGGGCTCAGAAAGGAGCCACCAACCTGCCTCATCCCCGGGGAATTAGGGCCCAAACACCAAGGCCGTATAGGGAGCCTAGGGACCATCATAAAAAAGTGCAGAGACAGGGTTGGGCACCCTATGGATGCTCTGAGGGCCTCCAGGTCTCCAACCCAAAACACAGTGGCCCTGCCAGAAATCTCGGGATCCTGGCATCCTCTTCCAACATTCTCACCTAGGCTGGGTCTCAGCGTAATCCTGTTGAGCATGATTTTAAAGTCATCACCTCTCTTCGGGACAATAGGAAAAGGTTCTCATCATTGGCCCAACTTAGGGAACCCCCCTCCCCATGCATAGATCCAGCAGGACCTGGATATGTTCACCACAGCTCAGTGCAGGAGACCAGGGCACCGGGAAGGGTCCGAGCTTCAGCACACTGGGAGCTGAGAAGCTGGCTGACAGACACATGCCTGGGGCCTGCAGACCCAATACATGTCTTCCTCCAGGCTCACCATCTGGAGGGACAGGAGGAAGACATGTGTCCAACCAGGGCCTCACGTATCAAAGCAGGGAAAGTGAGTAGGGGATATCCATGTGATGGGATCCATGAAGAATACTGACCCATCATGGATACAAGGCATCCTTGGCCCTCCCTGCCACCAAACCTTGGAAACAGAGGCTCAAGACCCCGCCACCCTGGAGGTGGCCCTATCGCTCAGAAGCAGCCTAGGTGGCAAATTCCCAGAACAGGTCCGTCAACAGCAGGCCTTCCCACCTCAGGAGACCACTCTTCCTGCCACTGGACCTCAAGGAAGGGGTGACCCTAGAGGGACATGAGCTGTCCCCTTGGCCCAAAGACCATGAGGCCCAGGGCCGGCCTGCAGCACCTCCAGGCACCAGACAGGGCTCAGGTCACGGGGCTGAAGCAAGACACCTGAGCTCTACCTTACTGCAGGCCACGAGAGCAGCTCCACTGCCAGGGCCGGCTCCCCTAAACAACCCCAGGCTATGGACCAGGACAACCAACTTGCTCATGACCAAGGGGGCGGGTCCTGATGCTAAGAGCCACTGTAGACCTGGCCATGGCAGAGTCCGCCCCTGGGTGTGGTAGGACCACCCTAGTGCCTATACCAAGAATGTACCAGAAAGCAAGGCCTGGGGCCACAAGGGCGACATGCTGTCTCTGGTGGGTCCCCATCCACGCCCTGCACACCTCCCACACACAGAGCCAGGCCACACTCGGTCAATTGGGAACCACATGGTGTCCTCTACTTTCCTTGAGCTCAAAACACCCCCACCCTGGAGGTGACCCCATGGCTCAGAAGCAGCCTAGGTGGCAAATTCCTAGGACAGGTCCCTTGACAGCAGGCCTTCCCACCTCAGGTGGCCATACTTCCCATCACTGGACCTCAAGGAAGAGATGACCCCAGCAGGACATGAGCTGCCCCTTTCCCAAAGCCCATGAGCCCCAAGAATGGCCTGCAGCACCTCCAGGCACCAGCCAGAGCCCAGCCTTCATCCACCAGCACTGAAACAGCACCGCCGCCTACCAGGCTCAAGGAGGCACCACTGAAATGGCCCACTGCTCAACAGGGTCAGTCCCATTCAGGGCCATGGTGGATAGCATTCCTTGAATCTCCAAAGCCTGACCATGTGGGCTCTATCACCCACCCTTCTGGGGGAAGGAGAACCCCAGTGTTAGTCCCAGGGCACCCCAGTTGGTGGCTCCTGCTGCCACCCTCATGTGGCCTGGGCAGTCCTCGAGGGCTCACCTGCCCATGGAGTTTCAGCTGGAAACTGCTCTATCCTGGGCTGAAGGAACCCTTTCCTGTCTGGACAACCATCACCCCTGCAGGGCTTCAAGAAAGGCATGTTCTACGGTCAGATTCCCCAGGAAGCAACCCTCCTGGAGGAACCATCCCTCCCTGTGGGTGTTCAGTCAGCTCCCTCAGAAAACCCTAGAGACCCGAAGGCTGACTCATGATGACCTCACGCTGCCTCACTCATAACTCATGACCAAAACAGGGTGTACGCATGCTGTTGCTTCAGCCCTGAACACCTATGCCACTCAAAGCCAGGGGACCAACCTAGGTAGAAGAGCTCACTGAAAGACACAGGGAAGAAGGAGGGTTCAGGAAAGAGCTGCCAACATGTCCCAGGGAACCAGAGCATGGACACCAAGCCCAAACAGTGGGGCTGGGGTGCCTCACGGAAGTGCCCAGACACAGGGTTGGGCTTACAGTACAGCCATGGTTGAGGCACGGTCCTTGAATCTCCATGACCCACCCCTATGGGTCCATTCACACACTACACTTGGGGACTGAGAACTCCCATGTGACCCCCATGGCCCCTGGAGCCCCTCTGGCCCCCCTCATGTGTTTGGGCAGTCCTTGAAGCCTGACCCAAGCACTGAGTCTCAGCTCGAGGCTGCCCTACATGGGGATAAAGCAACCCTACCCCTTCAGGGCTTCAGGGAAGGCATCCTCCTTGGGTCTGATTCCCAAAAAAGCAGTCCTCCTGGAGAACTCATCTCTCCCAGGTGGAAATTCAGGCCGGCTGCCTTAGAAAACCCTTGTGGCCCAAAGGCTGAACCTCAGCAACCCCAGACAGCCTGGCTAATGGCCCATGACCACAGCAGGGTCCACTCACCTATGCCAGTCAATGCCAGGGGGTACACCTAGGTGGAAAAGCTCACTGAAAGACACAAGGTGGGAGAACAGGGGCTCAGGAAGGAGCCACCAACCTGCCCCATCCCCAGAGAGCCAGAACACCAACACCAACCCTGCACAGGGAGCCTGGGGACCCTGATGGAGAAGCGTGGAGATAGAGTTGGGACCCCTACAGATGCCCGTAAAGGCTTCTGGGTCTCCAGCTCAAAATATAGTGGCCTTGCTGGGGATCTTGGGATCCCAGTGTCCTCTTCAAAAATTCTCACCTAGGCTGGGCCTCAGCGTAATCCTATTGAGCATGATTTTTAAGTCATCACCTCTCTTCCAGACAATACAAGGTTCTCATTATCGACCCAATTCAGGACAAACCCCTCCCAGCACATGCATCCAGCGGGACCCAGATGTGCTCACCACAGCCAGGAAGGGCCCGAGCTTCAGCACAATGGGGGCTGAGCACCTGGCTGACGCACACTGGCCTGGCTCCACTGGGCCTCACATAAATCTTCCTCCGGGCTCACCATCTGCGGGGACAGAAGGAGAACATGTGTTCAAGGAAGACCTCACACCTGCATGTGGTGAATGGGGTAAGGGTTACCCATGTGATGGGACCCATGTGGAGCACTGACTCATCATGGATACAGGGCACCCTTGGCCCTCCCCATGACCAAATCCTGAAAAAACAGGGCAGGGAGGTCACTGGGCTTGGGCGAGACTCCCAGGCTGTGCCCTATTGCAGACCTTAAGGCACCTCCAGTGCCCCCTTTGTCTTCCCTTTCCCACGATCCCAGGGCTGTTCTGGGATCCCTGAGCATGAGCCAGGGTCACCAACCAGCTCATGGCCAACCGACGAGGCTGGCCCAGAAGCCATGTGCCACTGTGGACATGGAAGAGGCATAGCCTGCCCCTGGGTGTGGCTCTTTGCAAGCCATACCTGAAATAAAAGCCTGGAGTCCCAAGGCCATGTGCTTTGTCTGGTGGGTCCCCATCCATGTGCCGCACATGTCTGAAACAAATAGCTGGGCCACCATCGGCCAACTTTGGGTCATATGAGCTTCCTTTCCTTTGCTTATGCCGAAGAGTCCGCCACCCTGGAGATGACCCCGTGGCACAGGAAATGCCTGGGTGGCAAATTGCAGGGACAGGACCATTGACAGCAGGACCTCCCACCTCAGGATCCACTCTTCCAGTCTCTCACCCATGGGGAAG